TCAATCTTCACAGAAGCAAAGCCCAAACCACACCCACTGCTGTGGAGTCCATTCCGACCCACAGCGCCCCTAGAGGACAGAGTGGAATTGCCCCATACGGTCTCTGCTTTATGGAAGCAGACTGCCATATTTCTCCTGTGGAGTGGCTGGTGGGTTCGAATCACTGACCTTTTGGTTAGGAGCTGAGTGCTTTGAGCAGTACTCCACCAGAGCTTAATCATTTATCTACTTTGTGGTTAGGTGCTTTCCAGCTTGGTTATTTTATTTTTGTTTGTTTGTTTTTATTACAGAAAATACAGGTGACAGATCATTTGCCATTTCTATGATCCCCACAGGTACAGGCCAGCCACACAGCATGTGTCCCTTATGGTCAACCATCCCTGTTAACTGTTCCCAATTTTTCCATCACCTTGACAGAAGCTCAGTGTCCCCTAAGTACCGTGTCTTCCTTTCCCCCTCCCTCCCACCCACCCAGCCTGGTTTTTTTTAAAGCATTTGGCTGACTTGCCCCAACACTGTCCTTAACAGACCTCAGATTTTTGGGGCAACTTAGGAGCCATTTCTTCTTCAACAGGCAGGTGGTCTGCCCTCCGTGCCCTCCTTCAAGTTTTCCATCACTTAGAGGAGGGTTCAGGGGACCTCCAAGGGCCAGGCCAGGAGGAATACCTGCTGGATTAACAGGGAAGGAGGGAAGGAGGCAGCTTCCTAGCTTTGCATCTCCGTCCCTCAGTTGAAGAAACGCTGACCACAGTGCCACCTTGTGGTCACAAGACGCCACAGTCAGAAATGGACTTGAAGTTGGAGACGGGGCCCCACAGCATTTCAAAGTTTCTAACAGCCGCACTCAGTGTAGTGAGAAACTGGGAAATTAGTCTCTGTAGTAAATTGTACTGAATCCAGTGTGTCCCAGGTAATGCTTTGACGTGGAATCAATCCGTTAATGGCATGGCGTGCAAACATGACTGAGGCATGTGACATTCCTTAGCACCTCGTCTTTCGTCTGGTCTGTGGGTACACTTCTGAGCCCTTCACACCGGGCCATGTGGTCTCAGGAGTCTAGCGCCTTCCAGGGCTCAGTCCTCACTGTGTCTCGGGCCTGAAGGCCGTGTGGGGAGTCTCACGGGCAGGGGTGGGGCATGACCAAGACCGTCACCCAACTCCGGGCCTGGCTGCTGTGGCTCCCAGCGGGTGCTGAGATGCATGGAGGGTGGGCCTAGCTGCTTTATGGGCGAGAGAGAGACCCCGGCCCACTCCGGCACATACCTGGCTGTGTTTCTCCGCCCGCTGGCCATGCTCCGTCCTGACCCCGAGCAGCCCCCGTGCCTCAAGGACTCACACTGCGGCCTGTGGGCCTCTGTCTTGGCCGTTTCTGCTCCGTCCGCCCTGCTGAAAACATTTCATATCTGTCATTGGCTTATGTCTTGGGAACATTTTTTTTTTGTCCTGTTTCTTTGAGAACGGTTCTCCTTCTATTTAGAATACGCCAGAGGCCAGGTTCTGATATGATTGGAAGAAACGTTTGCAGTTAACAGCTGTTTCTTCCCAGAACCTGCCGAGCCTCGGTGCCATCCTGAGCGCCATAGAGACAGGGCGTAGGTCAGTTTCTAAATGCCCCAAGACTGATCGCTGTTGTTGCTCGTTGTCAAGGCGACGCCCGCTCACGATGACTTTTCTGAAGCTGAACGCCAGGCCTGTATTCCAACGCACCTCTGTGTAGATGCAAACCCCACACCTTTCTGGTTAGCAGCTGAGCGCTTAAGTGGCTGCAACACCCGGGGACTCCCTTCGCAGACACATCACAGGGCTCCCACTTTGCAGAGGGCTGAGGCTGAAAGAGGGCCCTGCCCTGCTCACCTCTGGGGAGCAGTCAGACCAGCGGGGTGCAGGGTTCTCTGGGGGTCGCCATGCCCACTGCTCCCCTGCAGTCAGGGGGCGCTCCCTGCAGCTGCTCACCTGGGCGGGGCTCGGGAATTGCCTGGGGGTGTCGGCGGGTCAGCATGTGACCGAGTGACCGGCACCCCCTCCCCCAGCCGTCTGCGTGGATTTGCAGCTGTCGGCCTGCAGCGACGCGGCCTACAACCAGACGACCTTCCCCACGCGGCTGAACCACCGCTCCCGGGACGCGGTGGAGGCCAGCTCCGAGTACATCTTGCTGAGTGTGCTGCACCACCTCCTAGAGGGCCAGTGCAACCCCGACCTGAGGCTGCTGGGCTGTGCCGTGCTGGCGCCCCGCTGCGACGGCGACCGGGAGCGCAGGCCCTGCAGGCGCGTGTGCGAGGGCCTCCGGGAGGCCTGCCAGCCCGCCTTCGACGCCATCGACATGGCCTGGCCCTACTTCCTGGACTGCACGCGCTACTTCGCCCGGGAGGATGAGGGCTGCTTCGACCCCCTGGAGAAGCTGCGAGGTAAGCGGAGGCTGGCGGGGTGTAGGGCAGCCAGGGATCCAGGCAGCCAATTAGGACACACGCCCACACAGGGACCAATCAAGACCCGCTTCCTTTACTGGTCTGATGCAGACCCGCTGCCAAGTTCATTCTGAGAACACAGCTGCCTGGGTCGGGTTCCCAAGGCTGTCAATCTTCCCCAAAGCAAAGCCCAAACCACACCCACTGCCTGGAGTCCATTCTGACCCACAGAGCCCCTAGAGGACAGAGTGGAACTGCCCACAGGGTCTCCAAGGCTGTCAGTCTTCACAGAAGCAAAGCCCAAACCACACCCACTGCCTAGAGTCC